TTTGCCAAATTGAAATGCATGTGCCCACGTGAAGGAAAATCAGTTTTTTTCCCTTCCACTTGATCATATTCTGCCTATGCATGTGATCATACTTATTCTTTGCTTTTATAACAATAATTGTAATAATACAGTATGGCAAGCCATGTTCTGTTCCCTCACTTTCATCTATAAATATGAGGGTCTTCTGCTGATGGAAGTCACACTAGACGGAAGAAAAAGAATAGAGAGAAAGAAAGGGAGAAAGAAAATAAAGAGAGATAGAAAATATTCAGTCCCAAAATAATAGTCGAGGGATAAAAATTTTAGTGATAAAAATAGAGAAAAATTATTCGAGAGATATTTTTATTCCTATTTTTTTAAGTGCTCAATTCTCGATTCCGTTCCAGTTCGCCGGAGATTGTAAATCTGGTGTGCTACAGATTTAGAGACGTTTGTCGTTGTATCTTTGGGAAAGTTACACCTAAACCGTTTGCAACACAAGGGGCGTATTCTTCTCGCGGAAGAGTTTACTCGCCTCGACTAAAATCTTTTCAGTTTTTTCAGTTGTATTTTGTTTTTCAGTTTAATTGTAATTTTTGATTTTTAGATTATTTGTAAGAACTGAAAGTACACTTCAGTTCGTAGGACTCCCGTGTATTTTTTCACAAAGTTTCTATCATACCCATTCATATCTTATATTTTTAACCAATATTCTACTTAAAAAAATTTTATTTTGGTATACTTTTAATGAAATATTAGTAATAAACTAATACCTATCATATTTTGTATTTTTAACTAATAACTAATTTAATTAATTAAATACAAATACAAACACAACATTCCACATCTACCAAAAATCAATTACAATATTTCTCACCATTATTTCTCACGAATTTGTTTGCTTCCACATATCTCCTAAACTACTTTAATCAACTCAAACAACAAAGCTTTGAAAGTATATAAAATTGCTATTTTGATAAAGATCCTAATTGCTATTAACGAGAAAGTCAAGCAAACTAGATTGGCCTTAATTTTGTGGAGCTATAAGTGCCAATCACAAAACTAACATGGAATTGAAGCTCTCACTAAGAAATTGAAAGTCCTGAGATCAGACAGGACAGAAGATAACTAGGAAGTCTGGAAAACCACAAAAAAGATTTAGAAAAAGCTCATCTCCATGAAGAACTCTTCTAGGAGCAGAAGGCCAGGTTCAAATGACTGAAGGAAGATGATGGTAATACTAAGTTCTTTCATGCCTTCACCTTGCAATGGAGAAGGCAAAATGCAATCACAAGGTTGCTCTCTCCTCAAGGAAGAGAAGTAACCATCCAGAGGGACAAAGAAGCACATATTTCGAGTTCTACTCCACTCTTTTCTCTTCTAAAGGTTGTTGGGGAGGAGACTCTATACTCCATCTTATTCCACAAACCATCACCAATGATATGAATAAGGACCTTCTCAGGCCAGTTGATGAAGATGAACTCAAGTCTGCTCTTTTCAATCTACATCCTGACAAATCTCCTGGAGAGGAAGTACGAGTGCTCTCTTTTACCAACACTTCTGGGCTTTAATTAAACCTGATCTTATGGCTGCTATTTATTTATTTATTTATTTATTTATTTATTTTTTGCAGTCTGGTCTTATTCTCAAATTTTGAAATTACACTATACTTTCACTTGTTCCTAAAAGTGCTAATCCTAAAACACTGAGCCAGTTCAGGCCAATAAGTCTTTGCATTGTGGTCTATAAGATCCTTTCTAAAGTTTTAGCTCAAAGGCTCATAGTTTGATTGAATTGTTGCATCAGTTATTACCAATCTACATTTATAAAAATTGAAAAAAAGAACTGTAAAAATTGAAAAAATATATATAAATTTTTAAAAATTTAAACTAATCACTCAAATAATTTTATCGGTAATCTATTAATAATTAGTATTTATTACATGTCAAAGGTATATTGTAAATCATTCATAATTCTTGTTTTTTTTTTTCCTTCCAACAAACGATAGAAATAACATTAAACTTCAAAAGAGTACAATCAATTGCCCAGTAGCAATACAAGACACTTTTGCATTTAAAACACCAAACACAAAGGTAAAAAAAATAAAAAGGCTCATAAAAGGGATCCACCTAAAATTAGACACGCTCGACACCAAATAAGACACGACACTCTCCTACTGGGAGACAGAGCCACTCGCCAAATGGAAGACACATACACTCCCTAAGGGACACCCACATACATAAAACATAAAAAACACAACAAAAGAAAAAATACTTCAACTACAACAAAACAAACACGAGCAAACAAAACATAGATTTAACAAATGATTATAGACTGAAGTCGTGAGGGTTCTAGACAGCTACACCGCCTTACCCATTGCACGAGCCAAACAAATAGAAGAATGCCACACAACAAAGAACAAAAACTCGACACTAAATCACAAATCCAGAAACTCCACGACGACTAGCAGCTAATTGAATCTGAGACAATATACCAACACCATCCTTCAGAGTCGAACCCATCAATGTACAGTACCCGGAGGGCCGAGATCCAGTGTCCAGGCATGGGGAAAGGTGACTAAGGCAACCGCCCAGGGCCCCAATTCTTAGGGCTACCACATGGATATATATGCATATATTTATATATATGTAAATATGTATTGTAATTAAAAATATTTTTAATACAGAATTATTATTTAGTAATAGTTATTTAGTTTTTGTTGGATTTTCACAACATGAAGATTCTAATATTTTTTATTAAATATGTTGAATTTTGTTGATGAAATTATTATTATTAATATATATATATATAAATTCTAGCTTAGCAATAACTTTTACCAAATAAATAAAACCTATTTAACTTTACCTAATAAATAATACCTAGGTGGCTTTCCCCATATAGTAACCGTAACAATTCTATATTATCATTATTACTATTAAATTATTATTATTATTGTTGTTGTTGTTGTTGTTGTTATTATTATTAATATTATTATTATTATTATTATTATTATTATTATTATTATTATTATTATTATTATTATTATATATTAGTTCAACCTATCACATTAGTGAAAAGATATTTATTTGGACATTTTTTTTGGGTTAATTTAGACAGAAAGGTCACATTTTATATTAGTTGAGTAATAATTATATTTGTTATTGTATCATATAGTTGTTATTATGAAAATTAATAATCATATTTACACTAAATGATATATCAAAATTACATAAACACAAAAATTTTATTGTAAACTTTTTGTTCAAGATATGTATCTATATTTAATATTTTTTATTTGATTAAGAGATTAAATTAATTAGTTTAATGCCATAGTAAAATTTCTTAAAATCGCATAAGCAATTGTTATAATAAATTTAATACTTTTTTAGCTACTTAATTGTTCTTGATCTCTCAAACTTATAAATATTACATTATTTATAATATTTTATGCAATCAATATAGTGATTTATATGCAATTAAATCGTTATGTACTATTTATTTTAATCAATGATCGAATTGAAAAACATAATAGCTTTATCTAACTTATAATTTTAATATTATATGCATAAATATAACTTACAATACTCTATATTGAAAATATAATACCATTATGAAATATATTTTTTTATAATATATGAAAACAAATAAATTTTTTTCAGCATACGAATAACTTATAACACTTTATTTACATGTGTGCAAATATTGCACAAGGTCGAATACTAGTAGAATTAATAATTTGTATATTTTGTATTTTTTTTTATTTTTCACTCCATCTTTTAAATTTCTCTATAACATAAACATTGTTACTTTGTGTGCATATTATAATTTAATAATAGCCGTCAAAGGGAGTAATGTGAAGTTACTCCTTTCGAATGCTGACTTCTTAGGCTATGTTTGGTAAACCAAATAAGGTAGCTTATAGCTTATTTGGTTAGCTTATAAGCTTCCTGTATTCAAATAAGCCTCGTTTGGTAGGACGAGCTTATTTAAAAAGCTCGAGCTTATTTGATAAGCTTGTTTAGGTAGCTTTTCAAATAAGCTAGTTGAATTTTTTATTCCAGCTAGCTTATCAGCTAATTTTACCAAACACTTTTATCATATAAGCTAGCTTTTCAGCTACAAGTCATAAGCTATAAGCTATAAGCTCGAAAATTACATATAAACTATAAGCTAGCTTACCAGCTATCAGCTAGCTTATCAGCTAGTTTTACCAAACATAGCCTTAGTAGCCGACTGTTTTGGATCACTGTTTTAAAAATCGGCATAGGCGGCGCCTAGGCGCTAGGCGGTGCCCGGGCGCCTCTAATTTCTAAACAAATCGGCAAAAAAAATGGGCAAGGCGACTAGGCGGCGCCTAGGCGGACTTGGCGGGCTCGGCGACCAGGCGGACCTTGGCGCTCCTAGACGGGCACGCCGACAATCTTTCAGTCTATTTATTTATTTTTAAATACTAATTACATTTTTTGTTCTCATGTTTTCTTTAAAATATATTAATTTTATTATTTGGACACCTGTGTGTCGATTTATTATAATTGAGATAACTTTATTTTATAGGTACTTAAAATAAATAAAAATAAGGTATTTAATATTTATTTTTAGGCCCCGACTAAACACTGCATACGCCCCGCTTAGGCGTTCTAGGCTCTAGACGACTTTCAGAACACTGTTTTGGATACATTTTTAAAATAAATTATTTGATATTTTTTGAAGTAAAAATTCAATCAGTTATGAAGTTAGAATCAACTAATAAGGATGTCAATTAGATTAACTATATGGGTAAGATTCAAATAATTTGAAATTTTAGTTGTCTTGTCCCTTTGGGGACATCAGATAAAATTGGAACGATACAGTGAAGATTAGCATGGCCCTGTGCAAGGATGACATGCATAAATTGAGAAATGGAATTTTAGTTGTCTTCTTCAATCTTTTTTTTTTTTTTCAAATAAAAATATTATGGACATTGTTTATAAACAATATTAAGGGTATCGTTTAACATAATTTAGCTCAAGCCCTAATAATTTTCAGGACCGATTCTGTCGAAGATCCACAAACCCCAAAACGCCGGAATTCACGGGTACGTAAAGACCTTCATAAAGTTGGAGTTCCTGCCGGCCCGTTGTCGGGAACCGTGGCCGAAGAGCCCGACAGGAGCGAGTGAGCGAGCCGGAGAAACCAGCCCTCCCATCAATGTTCAGATAAGATGCAGGGAGGCAAACGCCGACGCTGGTTAAATCAGTGTTCAGTTTATTAAATTCATTCATAGTTCATTCTCCCGTATTTTCGACTTTCTCAATCTCTTCTATCCGAGAAGATAATTTATTTAGTTTTATTAAATATTCTGTATTGACTCGAGCAATCCAAGATAAATTGAGAAAGACAACAAGGAATTAGTAGAGCGAGTAGAAGTAGGATTACTATATAAAGCAAAGTAAAAACACTAAAATCATAAAGCACGCACGGCGGCACCCTGTATAGAAGAAGAAGCTAATTTTTCCTTCTCTTAGACCCCAATTCATGTTGATCATCGGAATTGCCCTCTTCCGCGTCCGCGGCCACAGCTCTCAAGTAATCATCGACGCTGAAACTATCGTTGACTTCCACATCCAATGGAAGAGGCTGTAGATCATTATTATTATTATTATTATCCTCCCTACTTCCAAAGGTCCAATCGAAATCCGGCAGCTGGCATCGAGGATCCCACATCAACTGTTGCTGCTGACTGAGAAGGTGGTGCTGAGGATCATAGTAAAGACTATTCTGACCATATAAGTAGCTCACATCAATGGGTGTGGGATTAGGAATAAGTGGTTGGTTATGTATAAACGAAGGCTGCTGATATCTATCCATCATCAACACGTGATCTTGCTTTTCGCAAAAGACGTTGTTGTTGTTGGGGAATTGAACATCCTCGACATTGTTGCTACCCTTGTTGTTGTTGCTGTCATTGCTGTTGTCGTCGTCGCCGTCTTCTTCTTCTTCTTCTTCTACAAACGGGACCACATGGAGTGGGCCCGAGGGAACAATGTCTTCCTCATCGTTTACATCCTTCGGTTTTCTTTTCGGTGCCTTTTCTATTTTTTCGTATATTCGGCACAACACCCAATCATCCAACTGCAACAATAATTCAAATGAAACATATACATATAGATATATATAGAGAGAGAGAGAGATAGATAGAGAGAGAGATGGACTGTGAGTACCCTCATGTTATTGGAACCGGGGCTCTTGGAAGGAGAATTGAGCTTGTACTCGTGCATGATCCAGTTCGTCTTTCTTTCGTTCCCACTTTTAGGTCTCCCTTGATAGAAAACCAAAACCTTTTTCCTTCCCGCAAGTTCACCTTTCGACATGACTAATTTATCGGCACCGGTGGCCTTCCAATACCCTATTCCGTTAACCGACCGCGTGGGCCGACTCCCGTTCGGGTACTTCCTGTCGCGCGGAGTGAAAAAGTACCACTCTTGATCTCCAAGTTGAGGATACTTCCCTTTAATCAATTACACAACACAACACAAGAAATTATACAAGAAAGAAAAACAATAACAAAGAAGAACATTAAATTCAAGAAACCAATATAAGCAACCAACTAACTTTTTCCAAGATTCTTGGAACCGATTATCTAATTATTTTTGCAAGAAAAAAGTATAATTAATTAGAATATATTATATATACCAGAGAGGTAGACGGGACTGTATTTGTAGAGCTCGACTTCATTAATCTCATCAACCGGGATTGGCTGATTGTTGACTTTCCTTGCCAAGTACTCTAAAATGAGCTCTTGATCGGTCGGCATGAACCGGTAACCGGGCGGGAATCGACCCGACGTTGAAGCCGATTCTGTCGACCTTTCTCTCCTCCGATCATCATCAATGTGGTTATTATTATTCTCCATGCCTGCGAGATAATAATCCCAACAATGGCACTTGAAAAACTTGAAAAGAGATGATAAGACTTAAATATATATTGCTTTGGCGCCCCGTAGGCCGAAAATAAAGGGCTTTTGGGCCACTCAGCGCCTAATTCGTGTTTACTACAAGAGATTTAGAGTTTGTGTTGATTTAGGACTTTTTATTTGGCTATTTAATATTATTATCTTATTGTTTGGGAGATTTTATCGAGCTTATCTCCCTTTTATTTATTTATTTATTTATTTTTTTAACAGAATACGTACTTATCGCTTCTCTAATGAGATTCCTTTTCTTTCCTATGCAAATTAGAGATGGGCAAGTCGTTTTAGATTGGTTTAGTTAATGAGTGAGAATTAATCACATTATTGATAAATGGAGAAATAAGCATTTGAGTGATGAGTAGAGTAGCAATTCAAGGAAGTGAATACAAGATAACATGTTTAGTAATAATCTTTATATAAACATTATTATCTTTATTTACATTTTTATTTTATTAATTGTAAGATGGTAATTTAAATAATTACATTTGTGTAAAGTATGATATCTAATTTAATTCTATTTTGATATTAAAATAATTTAAATAGTGAGGATAAAAAAGATATCTTGTATATGGAGCAAAATGTAGAGCTCACGGTTGGAGATGAAACTTGATTTTTATTTGAATCTATGCTATAGTATAGTAAACTTTATACTAGAGTAGAGATAAGTGCTGAAGATAGATTTAAGTAATTTAAAAAACTCATTTATTCCACTAATGATCATGTTTTACAAATCCACTTTATTCAGTTTGGGAATAATATATATGTGTGTGTGTGTGTGTGTATTTACTTAAAATAGTATGTTTAGTTTTTCACTAAATACTTTACCTAATAGAAAAGAAAATTCTATAGAATTTATTATTATTTTTTTTTTTTTTAGCATTTTATATTTTATCGAAGATAAATTTTCTTTAGAAGCATAAGTTTTATAAATATGTAGAAAATAAGAAATAATTCATTTACCTCTCGATATATAATCTACCATCTTAATATATTTCTGTTTATTATAAACATTTGTTACATGAATTACATGAATTGTTTCATAAAGTTAATATGATTAATAAAAAATAAGAAAATTTCTTTGGATCATATTAGGTGATAGAAATAGGTTACTGCCCAGGTGGATAAAATTGATTTTAGGGGATATTAAAAATAGTAAAAAATCATGACACAACTAGGATTGATATTTAGTTACGGGTCAGTTTGGTCATACCAAATCAATTATTGAAACTAAATTAGAAACTTTAATACTAAAAATACTTTATTACGATAAATGTAATGTAATCCAAGCTCCAAAGAATAATTTTAAAGATTTATTTTAATAATTCATGAATATTTATATATCATTTTATTAATGATATGTAATCAAATGATATTGCATTAGAACTTCTATTAATTAATGGTAAATTAAAGTTTGTTAGAAACAACCCATCATCGACACGATCAGGTTATTTTTCAATACATATTGGTTGGACCAGGATTTAATTTATTAATATTAATTAATTATTACTTTATTTACATATGTATTTTTTATATTAAAAATAATTTTAAACATTACAAAATTTATTTAAAAATCGTACTAGTTCGAGCGGCTAGTGTTGATCGGTTTACAAAAAAAAAAAAACGTTTTATCCAAGCGAAACATACTGATCAATATATCGGCACGCGGTCCACTCGATCAAACTATTCAAGCAAGCGACTGTTGCTGATCGGTTTACAGATAAACATTATATTGTTTTATACTATGCCTGAATTAAAATTGAATATTTCAATATTTCTATTCGATGATCTAAAGTTGAATACATTTAGTCTTACAAAATGATACGACAAAACAAGGGTTGTGTTGGGTTCAAGTTAAAATGATGATAAATGAAGGAAATAAGAATAAATCGTAGCCATTAGATAAAGTGATCTAATGATTAAAAAAATTCAACATTTATTTATTTATTAAGGGCATTTTAGATATTCTAACATAATCAATTTATGCCAACAAACAAATAACCTCCACCCAATTATTGTGTGACACATGGCAAACACACCTCACATATCTCTATTATCCTACCCCTTCTCTCTCTCACACATTGACACACACACACACACACAAATTGGTCAACACACACACATTATATACAACACATACAAATACATACAACACATACAGTGGAGACCCATCATCGCCAGATTTTTCGACGACGGCTTAAGCATCACAACACCTCCTCCCAGTAGTTGCGCCGTCATACGCGATGGTGGTCCGATCCACTGTCGTCAGCAACTTCAGTCATGAATTTAGGACTTCCAACTACCGGTCGCCGCATCTCGTCGTGATCTCTGCATCGGTCATCGTGGAGCTTGCAGTCACGCGCACACTTCACCGCCGTTGGTCCATCCTTCGGAGCTTCACCGCATTCGTTCTCCATCCATTTGAGACAGCGGCCGATTTCAACCATTCCCTCTAGAAGTTGGCACAAGAGATCGAGTCGCGGGGGGATAATCTCGAAAGGAATGGCTGAGGCCGATGAAAACGTCGACGTCGGATGTTCTCGCCGGAGACGGCTGACCAACGGCGGTGGTCAGGTGGTGGGGAAGAAGGAGACAGATTTGGGATTAGGGCTTGAATGGGCAAATTAAACAATTCAGATGGTTCTGATTGCAATTTAACAAAATTTGATTATATTTACATTTTGGTACATGTGCAACATCTGTAATTTATAGAACATTTTAATAAATATATATTAACAATAAATAAATTTTCAATGTAATGTGTATTCACATTAAATATATATGCGACGTATTACGACATGCACATTAACGACTATCACATTGCACATCAATGACGGTCGGGCTGCACCATATAGCAACCGAAACATAACTAACTTATTTTGTTGAAATTTGTATAATAAAGTTCAAATATGTGTTTACTTTTAAAATTTTAGTTATTTTGGTCTCGACTTTACAATTTAAAAAAAATGAAATAACACAACAAAGAACTATATAAAAAATGTATATTTTTATATAATTTATTTAAATATATTGTTATATTCAGTCGAAAACAACGATAAAAAAATTATTAACATACGAAATATATTTTTATAATAAACCACAAACCATTTCAGGGATTTAGGGTAAATCGGGTAACTGATTTGTTAAATCGATTAACTTAATATAATTATAGGTAGTGCACTTTATATATCAATACATTGCACTTTATAAGACAACATTTTGCACTTTATTAAAAACAAGTTGCACTTTATCATATCACTATTAGTGTTATATACTGAAAGCTTGACTTTGGATGATATTACACTTTTACCCTTTATGAATGAGAAACGTGTTAGATTAAACAAGTTCTACGTTATGTTGTTTTGCATTAGATAGTGTGGGCCGTTATCCGACAAACCGAAGATCATACTACTAGTTACTCGCGAAACAAGAATTAATGGTTCACAACATAGATGGACATGAACACCCCATCGTGAAGGGTTGTAGTGTCAACTGTACAGTTTGCCTTGACTGATTAGTTGCACTAGTACATTTATGTATTGAACAGGATCCTAGAGAGGAGAAGTTCGTTTTATACTTATTGTCATAAATGAACTAGGCATCTGTTAATTACTGCGTGCTCTTAACCCGTAAGATATTAAACAGACATATATGTGTAGTACTTATTACTTTGATTCACATGGGTGAGGCTTAGTGAACTTGGTCAATAGACCCTCTGTCTTGGGTAATATTGCTACATGTAGGATGTGTTAGAATATTTACGGTCACCATGTACGTTTAGTTTGATGAGTCCCCAGAGTGAGTTCATAAAAGATTATTATGCTAAACCCTGCACGTGGATTATATTCTAACATAGTAATAATGTGATGAAGGAGCGCTAGCTTCGGCAAAATAACAATAAATTATTTAATTATTGATTGTAAGTAGTCGAATTAATTAATGAACATTATATCTTAAACATAAAGAGATAAATCGAGTAATTATAAATGGAGTCTCAATTGTAAATTGGGCTATGAAAAGAGAGTGCAATAATATTATGTTAGTGATCCATTTAATATTATTTAATTAATTAAAATAAATGGGCTGACCCACAAATATTTTAATTAATTAAGGAGCTCTAGTCCTAATCTCCTAGAGAAAATTACTCCCCTTACTCTTGATTTACTAAATAATATTAATAATACGATATGTACATCTTTTCATCACGATTACTAACTATGTATCTAATTAAGGAAAATTGTAAATAAGGAGGGTGGTTATCTCATTGCATGATAAGCGGGAGGAGAGTTATTCTCTTTCCTTGCACACACAACACTAAATCAATAAAAAAATATTATTTTTCTCTCTCACAACCTTGATTACCGTGTAACATCTTTACAAGAAAAATTGCAAGAACTCATCTTCCCTGAACACAAAAAAAAAAAAAAA